ATATAGGATATAATTAGTATTTGGATAGATTAAGATTTAAATGAAATATTCAAAATAATTTTTTTAAATTGTTGACCTATAGATAGTTCACGTGGAATTAGATATTAGATATGATTAAAATTAGAATAGATTAGGATAACAATATAATATTCAAAAAAGCTAAGGGTAATACTGACCATAGAAAGATTTTTCGGAACTCGTGCTTTTAAAGAGAGAGTATGATATGATATGATATAATATTTATCAGGTGACAATTTAGGCATGTGTTGGGTTGAGATATGCTCCTTGCACGCTTTTGACGTGGCAATTAGTCCCGATGCTAGCTATACTGAAGTATTAATTTATTAGTATTTATTTCTTTTTTAATAGTTATAATTTAGCTGATTATATATTGCATGTGTAATACTTACGGGAAAATAATATATATCTTTATCATGTGAGAAGATTATGTTATTTAAAGTAACGTGGCCTAATCACAGTCAAAACTGAATAAAGAGATAACAGAATCCCACGTAACTAACTACAAACACCGGCCCAAAAATACTCGCGCTATCGAGCAACTTTAGAAACATTTTGCACGTGCATGCATCTATATACACTAAGCCTGTGTTTGGCAAGGGGTTAAGGATGAGGGATTAAAGAGAAGGGTTAACTTAGTTAATCCATCGTGAAGGGTTAAAAAAATTCTAAACCCGTTTGGATACGATAGTTAAGACAAGGGGTTAAGTCTTTTGTGTTTGGCAAATGGAGAGGGGTTAAGGAGATTAATCTCATTATTTTTTTAAAAAATACCACTTTCGCCCCTATTGAAAATTTATAAATAATTACCTCAACAAAAACGAAAAAATTAGAAAAACTTTGTACATTCATACCTCAAGGTAATTCTTCAAATATGTGACAATCCACTGTCTCATTCACCAACACAATCAAATTGTAACAAAAAAGAGCTCAGATTAAATCTAGTTGACAATACACTGTCTCATTCACCAACTAAATCAAATAAAAAGCCAAGATGAGCTCAAGTTGCATCTATTTAACGATCTGCTGCCTCATTCTTTAACCGTAGCCTCAAACGCGCCGAAAAAGACCCACAAATCCAAACCTAGAACTACAAATTCTTCAGATAAACCAAATTACAAGCAAAGCGAGCTCATCTTACACCTTTCCGAAGATCCGCTACCTCATTATCGAAAAATCATCACCAAAACCCCCAAATTCAAACCCTAGGACTACAAAACTCATAAAATAAACACAGTTCTGAAAATTAGTAAGAAGTTCAACACCGTAGATATCTGGCTAAAAAAACTTTCAATATTCTTACATTTTTGTAGCGTTTGTAAGCATAAAAGCTGATGGAAGCAATCGATGAGCAATCGTAACCAAGTTTCCTCTCCAGAAAGCTCTAAACCCTTCTTCACAAGCAATTCGGGAAGCCTCGCGCCATATACTAGCATTTCTTAGAGCCACAGCATCGGCGTGCATCCCTTGCACCTGAAGAAGATGAGTAATCAGGATCATTAATCTATCTTTAAGAGTCTTGACTGAAATATCCAGTAACCAATTGCAATTAATCACCCAAATGACACTAAAAACAGTATCTTTCCCCAAAATACAACTGAATCTTTCCCTGTAAATCTAATACAAAGTAGATAGCAGTGCATTTTCAGGCTTATGATTGAGACCTAGGCGTTAACCACCAAGAACGAATCTTTACACCTGAAAGAGGATGGTGAGGCGAGCGAGCGGAGCAGTGCAAGTTTTGCTCACAGCTCCGGCGACTCCTCCGGCCAAGAGATTGGTAATCGTCCTGATCTGTGCCTGTTGCTGATTGGGCGTCGAGTATTTAAGACCGCCGCCGCCTCCATGGACGGAGCTTAGAGCCCTATCGCAACTGTTGCCTCCGTCTGCATCGCGTTCTGTGAGTTCCAACCCTCGATTCCTTCGAACCCGTAGCTCAAATTTCGCTGCCTAATTCCCCTAACGAGACCCAAATGAAAAAATTCCGCCCCTACCCTCGCGTGACTTCTCACGCGGAATAGTTGTCCCTTCTTTTGACGGGATAACTGGGTTAACAGTGTCACGTGCGGGTTTGTTACCCCTTCTTCTTTTTTTTCTGTTTGGCAGGCTAATGGAGGGTTAAACCCACTTAACCCTCCATTTATCCTCTTGCCAAACGCAGCCTAAAGTTTCAGTGTCAAATTTTGGCTCCGGTCCACTGCATTTAACCTGTTTGAGAAACTAATTAATCTATTGAATTATGTAGAAAGATAATTCTTTCTTCCTATTGATCATCATATCATCATTGTCTTATTTTGGAAATATTAAGGGATTCATAAAGCTATAGAAGATTAGAGAGTGCATTAATTAATATTAGAGTTAAATTGATGCTAAATCAAATTCTAGCTGCCTTTTCGGACCGAAACGTAAATAATATTAGTTGCTGCTCAGTATGTTAACAAGGCATTAAAAATGGTAAATTATCGAAATTTAAAAAGTTCTTTGCTTTGTTATATGGCATCATAGATCTAGGGAGAAAGTGACTTTGCTAATGCATTTGGTTAATTGAGGTTGAATTTGACACCAAGAATGCTATTTCGGTTCTGAAAATTACTAATTAATTTGCTTCCCAATGCAATCACATAACCAAAAGCTTAATTATATATTCTATATATTTCGGAACAAATTATTGGGTTATCTCACCTGTATAATTGGTTCAACTATATGAAACTTAGTTCCCGATAAGTTACGATATATGTGATAAAATTTTAATACATAAGTACTAGACACATTTTTTTGTTAATACAAGTGATCATATGAAGAGGTTATCATACACATGTATCTGATGCAGATCTAGTCCCAACAGTAGAATTTGGATGAATCGGTTGCAATTAACGTTGATACGGTGTACGGAACAATATGCTACATTCGGAAGTCAACCTCGTACGGAACAATATGCTACATTCGGAAGTCAACCTCTTCTTCAACGATAAATCATGAATGACTGTGCGCCGCTTAGGGTCCGTTTGGTTGCAAAAGAGGCTTGGTGAAAGCCTGACAAAAACAATTGTTTTTAAAAACAATTGTTTTCCTGACAAAAACAACTGTTTTTGTCAGCTTTCAGCCCAAAACGCCTCTTAAATAAGAGGCGTTTTGGGCTGAAAGCTGACAAAAACAGTGGTTTTTGTCAGGCTTTCACCAAGCCTCTTTTACAAACAAACGCGCCCTTAGGGGCTTGATGTGGTTGATGCGCATCCATCACGTGAGAGCGTTGGACACCAAGCTGCAGGGCTGTCTTTTTGAAGGGTCTTTGTGCATTAGGCGGGAAACCAGCTTCTTTCTCTTTCTTGTTTTTGCCAAGGTAACTATTAGCTGACCGTCGTCGGCACGTGTCTGGTTGATTTCTTTCACCAGTACGCTTATGGCAGGGAGAATGGCATAGTAAATAAAAAAGAAAGGGAGAATCCACTATATATATGTAACCACATCATTCCTTATAGGAGGGGCCGGAATGAGAGAGATTTGGATACAATATTCTCATACTTTGTATTTCTAGTGAAGCTAGAATACTTTGTATATATATTAATTAGGCCGGAAACTAACTACTTTAATTCTCCTGTCTGTTTTTTGCTAGGACAACTATATGAAGTGACAATTGTCAGCATGTATCCAAGAAGTTTTGTTGCTAGCACACTTTTAGCAGGGACAACAGGATACTGATCAGTGCTAACCATGCGTACGAAAGTACTGATTTTTTTAGCCACCCTTTCCTTTTTGGCATTTATAATTCGACTGAGTATATCTTGGGTGAGTAATACTCATAAGACAATAAGAGACGTGGATCCTTACCACATCATGAGAAGATTATTTACATGACTAAACGTAACCGATGAGATTTAACCACACTGTGGCTTATTAAAGGAGAGAGAAAGATAGAATATAGCTTCTCTCAAACTACCTTCTTCTCCTGTTTGTTTTCATGAGGACAACTATGAAGTATCTAGTTGATTATGTTGCTATCACACTATTGGCATGAAATGCTTGGTGCTTACCATACTAGAATATTGATTATTAGCATTTGTTTCCATTTTTTGTTAGTTATTATAATTCAATCGTGTGCATGTTGCACGTATGATACTTTGAGAGGACAAATTTTCTAAACCAACCTATTTGGACTTTTATTCCCAAAAAACGACCCCATTCAAAAATAATTGCAAAAACCGACCTGGTTTCAGCCTCAGTGCTAAAACCAGGTCGGTTTTTGAAAAAAACTCTCCGAAACTTCACGGGAGTTGAACTCCCGTGAAGTTTCGTAGTTCAAAAAACTTCACGGGAGTTCAACTCCCGTGAAGTTTCGGAGAGTTTTTTTTAAAAAACCGACCTGGTTTCAGCGCTCTGAGGCTGAAACCAGGTCAGTTTCTCTAAATAAATGTGAAACGGGTCTTTTTTTGGGAATAAAAGTCCAAATAGGTTGGTTTTGAAAATTTGTCCTACTTTGAGAAGAATAATGAGTATCCTTGTCAATATCAGAAGATTTTCTCATATAACAAGGTGTAATTTCATCTCAGTAAAATGAATAAAAGAAAGAAGAGAATTCCTCATAATCGTAGTTGGCTGAGATTCAGCCCCTCTTGTATATGAGAAAATGCTTCCATAAAACACATGATGATAACCATTAGTACTTGCAACCACGTGCCCAAGCGTAGGACGGATCTAATCACATTCTTCTAGGGGTGCAGGACATTTTATGAACTTATGACTCCGGTTCTTTGCCCAGCTCGACCGAACCGATTTGATGAAAGGCCGGCTTGAGCTTCGGACCGTCCAGGTGCTTAGCACATGGACATCTTTTACTTCCCACGAGAAAATCGGAGCATCAGGCAAGCGATATATTCGCGCTGGCGATTAAAACGCCAAAATATCGCTCAAGATCTCTGTTCAAAGCGTCACTCTCTTACAACCTCCCCTCACATTATAAATTCTCCCCCCCATTCCTCTCCCTCATTTCATTAACCATTCTCCCTCTCCTCTCTCTCTCTCTCTCTCTCCCTCCCTCCCTCCCTCCCATCAATGGCAGTCTCTGGATCTCTTCTCTCATCTAACGGAGTAATATCACCCTTCTTGAGGACTTCGATTCCGAGCAGCAGTTGCAGAAGGCAGGTAGGTGATTGGGCATTGGAAGCCCTTTTGATTTTTGATCTTGTACTTGAATTTGTCTCTCTGAGCTTCTTTTAGATTTGTCTATAGTTGGGTTTGTGGGAGAAAGATTGGTTCCTCGCGTTTATATTACTATTGTTTTAGTGGGCCGGGCTTTATTCTGTTTTGTTCCTCAATTTTGAATTTTGACATCTGGGTTTGCCTTATTTCTGCATTTTGTTGCTTCCGGTGAGAAAAAGATTGATTTTTTTAATAGGCAGCATTTTTTGGGCTCAAAAGATTGGATTTAACGATTTTCCTTGTATAATCCTTCCAATTTCGTAGTTCCATTGTCACTTTCCTGTTAATTTGATTGGTTTTGTTTGATTTCAGTTTTATGTGAGAGCTAGTGGATCAGACGGAGAGGGAAAAGTTGTACTCAGGAAAGAAAACAATGGATGGAAAATTGATTTCTCAGGAGAGAAGCCAGCTACTCCTTTGCTGGATACGGTTAATTATCCCGCCCATATGAAGAACCTATCAACTCAGGTAACCAATTGACTTCTTATCCCTTGGTTTGTTATTTGATCAGATTGTAGAATTGAAAGCTTATAAGTAATAAAATTTGGTTAAAATTTTGGTTAAGGATTTGGAGCAATTGGCAGCAGAATTGAGAGTTGACATAGTTCATGGAGTTGAACTCCCGTGAAGTTTCGTAGTTCAAAAAACTTCACGGGAGTTCAACTCCCGTGAAGTTTCGGAGAGTTTTTTTCAAAAACCGACCTGGTTTCAGCGCTGAGGCTGAAACCAGGTCAGTTTCTCTAAATAAATGTGAAACGGGTCTTTTTTTGGGAATAAAAGTCCAAATAGGTTGGTTTTGAAAATTTGTCCTACTTTGAGAAGAATAATGAGTATCCTTGTCAATATCAGAAGATTTTCTCATATAACAAGGTGTAATTTCATCTCAGTAAAATGAATAAAAGAAAGAAGAGAATTCCTCATAATCGTAGTTGGCTGAGATTCAGCCCCTCTTGTATATGAGAAAATGCTTCCATAAAACACATGATGATAACCATTAGTACTTGCAACCACGTGCCCAAGCGTAGGACGGATCTAATCACATTCTTCTAGGGGTGCAGGACATTTTATGAACTTATGACTCCGGTTCTTTGCCCAGCTCGACCGAACCGATTTGATGAAAGGCCGGCTTGAGCTTCGGACCGTCCAGGTGCTTAGCACATGGACATCTTTTACTTCCCACGAGAAAATCGGAGCATCAGGCAAGCGATATATTCGCGCTGGCGATTAAAACGCCAAAATATCGCTCAAGATCTCTGTTCAAAGCGTCACTCTCTTACAACCTCCCCTCACATTATAAATTCTCCCCCCCATTCCTCTCCCTCATTTCATTAACCATTCTCCCTCTCCTCTCTCTCTCTCTCTCTCTCCCTCCCTCCCTCCCTCCCATCAATGGCAGTCTCTGGATCTCTTCTCTCATCTAACGGAGTAATATCACCCTTCTTGAGGACTTCGATTCCGAGCAGCAGTTGCAGAAGGCAGGTAGGTGATTGGGCATTGGAAGCCCTTTTGATTTTTGATCTTGTACTTGAATTTGTCTCTCTGAGCTTCTTTTAGATTTGTCTATAGTTGGGTTTGTGGGAGAAAGATTGGTTCCTCGCGTTTATATTACTATTGTTTTAGTGGGCCGGGCTTTATTCTGTTTTGTTCCTCAATTTTGAATTTTGACATCTGGGTTTGCCTTATTTCTGCATTTTGTTGCTTCCGGTGAGAAAAAGATTGATTTTTTTAATAGGCAGCATTTTTTGGGCTCAAAAGATTGGATTTAACGATTTTCCTTGTATAATCCTTCCAATTTCGTAGTTCCATTGTCACTTTCCTGTTAATTTGATTGGTTTTGTTTGATTTCAGTTTTATGTGAGAGCTAGTGGATCAGACGGAGAGGGAAAAGTTGTACTCAGGAAAGAAAACAATGGATGGAAAATTGATTTCTCAGGAGAGAAGCCAGCTACTCCTTTGCTGGATACGGTTAATTATCCCGCCCATATGAAGAACCTATCAACTCAGGTAACCAATTGACTTCTTATCCCTTGGTTTGTTATTTGATCAGATTGTAGAATTGAAAGCTTATAAGTAATAAAATTTGGTTAAAATTTTGGTTAAGGATTTGGAGCAATTGGCAGCAGAATTGAGAGTTGACATAGTTCATTCTGTATCAAAAACCGGGGGTCATTTGAGTGCTAGTCTCGGTGTGGTAGAGTTGACTGTGGCTCTTCATCATGTATTCAGTACTCCTGAGGACAAGATCTTGTGGGATGTTGGCCATCAGGTCAGTAGAAACTTAAGATCGAAAAATTAAGAAAAGAGTTGTGATTTTGATTATGTTTAGTTCGATATTGATTTGGGTTTTGATTGAATTTCAGGCGTACCCACATAAAATTCTCACTGGGAGGAGGTCGAGGATGCATACTTTGAGGCAGACCTCCGGTCTTGCAGGTTTCCCTAAAAGGGATGAGAGTGATCATGATGCCTTTGGTGCAGGCCATAGCTCTACCAGCATCTCTGCTGGTCTTGGTAAGTAAAGATTTTCAATGTCAAATCAAATAACATTTATTTTCTAGATGCAATCATCAAATTATAGTGCAATATTCATATCCATGTTTATACGAGTTCTATGTAAATCTTGCAACCGTTAAAGGGATTTGTGTGATTTACAGTTAAAAGAATTAGGTCTTGGAATAAATTGCTTCCTTCTGTGATTAGGAATGGCGGTAGCTAGAGACTTACTAGGGAAGAAGAATCATGTGATATCGGTCATTGGAGATGGAGCAATGACAGCTGGACAGGCTTATGAGGCGATGAACAATGCGGGATATTTGGATTCAAACCTTATTGTCATTTTGAATGACAATAAGCAAGTTTCTTTGCCAACTGCGACTCTCGATGGTCCTGCCACTCCTGTAGGGGCTCTCAGCAGTGCTCTCACGAAACTTCAAGCCAGCACCAAGTTCAGAAAGCTTCGTGAAGCCGCAAAGGTGAGAATTAGATGCTTTTCTTGGACCTATGTCAACACTTTTAAGTTAAATTTGGACTATTTTAGCACATGTATATGAAAATTTTGTTTAAGGAACGTGTTCTGTCAAAAGTTACTTGCTTTAATGAATGCTCGGAGTTGCTTAATAACAAGAAACAAAATTTACTCTTGAGTTAAAGTTCTGCAAATTGAACATTTTACATAGAAGGTCACTAAAATTAATTTAATAACATTAGATTGTATCATTGAAACTCTTGATCAGATGAAGTATATTGTTTAACCAACATTCCAGGTTAAATTACTTGTTGGTTCTATAATAATTTAAGAATTTACGCAAAGTGAAACCAATACATTAAGTAAACTCTTTCTTGGAATTTAATATATTCAATCATATCATTGAATGGAAAGGAGAAAAAAAAGGACATCCTCGCGTGTAGTTGATGAGAAGACAACAGGCTCTGACGAATAATCCCGAATACACATAGTAGGATACCTGTTGGACTTTGATGTGATACCCATAAAGATGTAAACTAGTTATATTTTGATGATATACGTCAGATGTCAAAATATGCTTTTGTACGAATCAGAATTTTGAAAAAGAAAAGATTTTTGTACGAAAACTTAAAATATGTGTGATATCTCGTGGCACACAAGATTCCGAACTAGTAGACTTCAGTTGAGAATATATGGCCGTTTAGTAAATATAGAAGCTTTTCTTCTAACATTTAGTTATCCGTATCAATCCTTAGGAATTGCTTCTTTGTATGTGCAGAGTATTACAAAACAAATCGGGGGAACAACACATGAGGTTGCTTCCAAGGTAGATGAATATGCTAGAGGAATGATCAGTGCTTCTGGTGCTTGTTTGTTTGAGGAGCTTGGATTATATTACATCGGTCCCGTAGATGGGCATAATGTTGAAGACTTGGTCACAATTTTCAAGAAGGTAAAGGAAATGCCCGCTCCTGGTCCTGTGCTTATTCATATAGTCACAGAGAAAGGGAAAGGCTATCCTCCTGCGGAGGGTGCTTCTGACAGAATGCATGGTACATATCTCTCTCTCTTTTGTAGATGAGTTTTTATTTACCTATGGAGTCTCAAATATTTCTTTGTTGTTGTTTTAGGTGTTGTCAAGTTTGATCCTGAGACTGGAAAACAATTCAAAGCCAAATCTCCCACACTTTCGTATACCCAATACTTTGCAGAGTCACTTATCAAAGAGGCAGAGATCGATGATAAGATCATTGCTATCCATGCCGCCATGGGCGGTGGAACCGGACTTAACTATTTTCAGAAGAAATACCCTGACAGATGCTTTGATGTGGGGATTGCTGAGCAGCACGCTGTCACTTTTGCAGCTGGTTTAGCTGCTGAGGGCCTGAAGCCTTTTTGTGCCATCTATTCATCCTTCCTTCAACGAGGATACGATCAGGTATAAAAACTTTAAAAATATCCTGAGGTCCTGACAGCAAATTATTATGACTTGTGATATCATCATTAAGGCATATTTGTTTCCATGGGATCCTTAGGATTCCATGGAAAAACTGAGTCCTAATGCTAATACTTTGTCAGACACAAATTCACAGTTTCAAATGTTCTTTCTATCCAAACAAACAAAAAATAGAAAATTTGGGTGAGTTCGGGATTTTGCAGAAAGTTGATCTGTCAATTTTCCAAAATTGAAATCTATCATCCGTGCAACCCCTTATTTGAATATGTGGATCTTGAAGGTGGTGCACGACGTTGATCTGCAAAAGTTGCCCGTGAGGTTTGCACTGGATCGAGCAGGGCTTGTCGGTGCTGACGGGCCAACGCACTGTGGTGCCTTCGACATTACCTACATGGCTTGCTTGCCTAACATGATTGTGATGGCACCATCGGATGAAGCTGAGCTGATGCACATGGTTGCAACCGCTTCAGCTATTGATGATAGACCTAGTTGTTTCAGATTCCCTCGAGGAAATGGAGTTGGAGTGACTCTGCCTCGTGACTACAAAGGAACTCCTCTTGAGGTATACAACTTCCCTTTTACTGTGATACTATGTAAAACTATGGCCAAGTACGGATGGACCCCATGAACTATCGCCAAACTGAACTTGCTATCCCCACACTTTCTATTGATGCAGATAGACCCCTAAGTGAATTTTTGACCCTTTTGTGGGGGTTTGTCTGTAACAATAGATTTTCACTCAGGGGTCTATCTACGACAATTTAACTAGAGGGATTGTAAGTTCAGTTTGGGGATGGGTGTGTCCATAATTAACTCATAAAACTATGACAGAAGATGGACACTGGTGATTGATATATACATATTTTTTAATAACAGATTGGGAAGGGGAGAATTCTGATGGAAGGCGAGAGAGTTGCGATTTTGGGATATGGTTCCATAGTTCAGTCATGTTTGAAGGCTGCAAATTCTCTGAGGGAGCATGGGATATATATCACTGTGGCTGATGGTCGATTCTGTAAACCACTCGACACAGCGCTCATAAGACAACTAGCTAATGAGCATGAGATACTTATCACAGTTGAAGAAGGCTCTATCGGAGGATTTGGGTCTCATGTAGCCCACTTCTTAAGCTTAAATGGCCTTTTGGATGGACATCTTAAGGTAAATTCAGCACCTTTATCCAGCATCCAGATTAGCTTTTGTTTATATTATATTATAAAATCCTAATTCTCAACCCTTACCGTGGATTAGAGCAACCCCAAGTTCAAATTTCACTGGGCAATATATTTAAAGTAAACTTTATGAAAACAAGGGGACTTCAAGATGCTCAAACTGCTAGGTCATGTTAGAATATAAAGTTACAATTCTCATTCTTGTTACTGTAAAATTTTAACTGTCAACTCTCACCAGTGGGTCCAAGTTTCGGCCACAAAAAGTGAAGCATATTAAAATATAAAATTATGATTCTCAACTCATCATAACCTTGGAGTCTAGTTTAGTGGCAGTGACTGGGTCCTTTTAACAATCATCACGATTTTGGAGTTTTGTCGCAGGGGTAAGAGAACTCCATAGTTTATCAGTTTCTTTCCTCTTATGACCATGATGTTAACTCGAGTTTCACGTTCTGCAGTTGAGACCAATGGTGCTTCCAGATAGATATATCGATCATGGAGCCCCTAAGGATCAAATCGAAGAGGCCGGACTTTCTTCAAAGCACATTGCAGGGACAGTGCTCTCACTCTTGGGGAGACCGAAAGAAGCTTTGCAGCTACAGTGAAGGAACTCATAGAGCCTGATTCTGTATGGAGATCTCCTATAGACACCTTTATGTGCTCATATTGGAGTCTTTAGCTTACCCAACTCATTGGCGTTTCTGTCATTCTCTCAGACAGTATGGTGGACACAGCAGGATATTTGGACTGCGGGTTGTGAAGGGATCAATGGATCATCTCCTGTTTGAGGCCTTGCCGCCTTGTACATTATCAATATTGTTTATAGATTTACAAAATACGTATTGATATTTGTATTGAATAGAAGGCCCATATACAGCTTGGCTTGATCTCCTTAAGTTTGTTCTCTTCTCTGACTTATGCAGTCCAGTTAAATTTCTTCTCGAACAATTTTTCACTTTAGCCCTATTTAAATTTTTTATTATTAAAATCGACCCTTTTTTCTTTTATTTACCAAAACCGACCCGATTTCTTGATTAGCGGCTTAATCACATTCCTAATTAGTCGGGGTTGCCAACCCCGACTATTTAGGATATTAATTTTTAGGGTTTAAGGCTTCTAATTAGGGTTTAAGACCCTCCTAAATAGTCGGGGTTGGCAACCCCGACTAATTAGGAATGTGATTAAGCCGTTAATCAAGAAATCGGATCGGTTTTGGTAAATAAAAGAAAAAAGGGTCGATTTTAATAATAAAAAATTTTAAAAGGGCTAAAGTGAAAAATTGTTCTTTCTTCTCAGATAACTAGCATGTTGTCATCTTTTTTATGGTTAGGCTTTGATGATACTTGTTTCTTTCCTCCATTTTTGGAATATCGCACTTATGTTACTTGAGTTTGAGCTTAAGCATGTTGGTTTTCCTGTAAAATTGAGATTAACTTACGTCACGTTAACAGTCGGGTGATAAAACTCAGTTCAAATTTACAAGAATACCCCACTTGGAACATACAAAAAGGAAGTTTCTGAGCAACTAATTGGCAGGATAGAGGGGTGATTTGAAGATTTCAATCGTTGTACTTGCTAGGTTCATAAAAACGGGATGAATATAGAAGTGGGGAAATGTGTCGGAACTCCACAAGAGGATCTTTCAACTTTTGTTCACTACCATGCTACGACGAGCGACATCTTATTGTAGAGTTCCACCTAGCTAGTAGTCGGCGCAATATACACATAAACAAGAAAAGGAAGTTACAACATCAACAACTAGTTCTTTATTTACCCCGGTCAATCCAATGTGAGCCGGTCTAATCAGACAAAAAGGATCTTCCGTATGATCATGAACAGAGTTGTTCTTGGCATCAATTCGTGATGACTGTTGTAATTAAACAACAATGATAACAACACCACTGCTATTGTTATAAACAAATATTATATCAAAGGAGATTAGCATAAACAAAGGAAGCAAGAAACGGGGAAAATCCAACGATTGCCAACTCAAAGATACTCAACTTTGTCAGGTTCTTTGGGCATTTTAATTAGTCGTTATCAGACAAAAGCTGATTGGCGTAGTAGCTCAGTGGAAAGGAACGCATCAGATGGGAAACTTCCACGCTCATGGAAATTGGAAAATATGCGGACGCAAGCAAGAAAGCAAGACCACATGACCCCAAGGGACTACGACAACAAAGCTAACATGGAGAAAGTTTCCGACACTAATGTTCAACGTTCTTGCTTTCATATGAGAGTTCGAAGGCAAGGGTTTTCTGATTTTCTGCTTGGAATGAGACTTGCATATGAAACTTCTCTTTCAGCGTACGGCGAAGCCTGCATCTTGTCCACATAAAATTTCAACTCGTCGTATTTTCAGGTTCGTGCTTATAAGCAACTTCGCTGCACGTTTTAGTTGCAACTTGCTACCAAGCATGCTTGCAAGGTCAATTATAAAAGAAATGTTGTATTTTGGTTAACGTAACCGGATATTCCTCAACATGTGTGATGCGTCTTACAACATTTCTAACTTCATATTAAAAAAAGGGCTAATAAAACATTTTGAATTTCAAGTCCTCATATCCAAGTGACGCCGCCTCAGGACCGGCTCTGTGGGAGTTCAACCGGTGCGCCCGCACAGGGCCCCCTAAATTTGAGGGCCCCAAATTTTTTTAATTTATATTTATATATATATAGGGAGAGCAAATATGGATCGTCCATTTCACAAACCCCTTAATCTCAACTGTCCAAATCACGATCAAAGCTCTTACTTCACGAAGTAAGTAATCTTCACAAATCAGATGATTCAGATCTAGCCGCCGCCCCCTCCTCTTTGAGCTCTCTCCTCCAGACTCGTCAGCGTCGCTGTTGGCCGCTGTCGAACTCGGAATCAAAATCACAGATTAAGATGTAAGATTTAGGTCTCTTTTTTTGGGATTACTTAGGGTTTTTGTTGTTTGATTTTTGTTTGATTTTTGTTGTTCATTTGATGCCTTTTGTTCAGTTGTTGTCGCACAGGGCCCCTAAAATCTCAGAACCGGCCCTGCGCCGCCTAACTAGCTAGAAGAGCAAGGACATCTCTCAAGCAATGCAATTGAGTAACAAACTCTTCAAATAAGAGTACTGAAAACTCTGGAACTATATGCATCAGCATACTCAACTCAAATTTGCAAACTAAACTGAAAAACTTTTCAATTCTATGATTAAAAATCAGTGATGACAGCATATTTGATTACTTCTCGATCTGTCTAGTAAGGAGTCTTATGCCACAAGACCAGGACGCAACGGACGATGCCACCTGAGCAAAGTAGTGACTATTGGGTAACTGAAGTCAGTGATATATTGTCCTCATCCATAAATAAAGCTAATCCAGGAGGTGAATTATAAAATAAAGATTACTTGTCAGCAGTACTGTATTCTGTGGCTCTATTCTGAATTCAAGCTCTACAATCTGGGGCCACTAATCCAGGAAGTGACGCATTAAAAGATGCATAAAATAGCACATTATACTTGTTTATTTTGACCCTTACAAACTATAATGAGGTAGAAATGTAGAAAATCATCCATGAACATTTTCATTAGAAATGCCTGAAATAACTTATAGAGGTCATGATCCAGTAAGATCATCACCTGCAAATCCATCGATTTCAGATGATGAGTAATAACATGAAAAAGGAGCCAACGTCTGCAAAATATCAGATTTCAATGTAAGGTGCAAATATTAAAGCTACTAGTCAACAAGAATGATGGATGTCGAAAAAACAAATTTACATTAAAAATTTGATCCAAAAAGTGATTAGTATAATTTGTTTACAAAAAGACTAATTGGATAGGCGAAACATTTAGAGATTGAAGAGACCCGATATAAACTTTGTGCACAGAGAAAGAGAGGAATAAAAGTAGAGGGAATACTAGTAGATTAAATAATAAAATATAGTAATGTAGATGTAAAGAGTTGGAGATAGAAAATAAGAAAATGCTTCGAGCTCATAAATTGTTGAATGGAATGTGTCCACATACGAAGACTTTGTCAATAAATAAATGTCCCAACCCCAGCAGTAAAAAAGCAAATGTACGTGTATTAGCCCCTATTCTCTCAATGTTTTTTCAAAAATCCCTACAATGTCCTTCCTCTCATCATCATCATCTCAAAAATCCCTATAGTGTCCAAAACTCATTTCTTTTTCTCCTCTATCTCCCTCCTCCCTCCTTTTCTATCTCTCCAAACTCAACTTCCGTAACCACCACCACAAAACTCAACCCCAAACTCATCTTTCTCCTCTCTCCTCCTTTCCCCCAAGCTCAACTCGTCCATGGCCATCACCACCAACGACCTAAAGTTTAGCCAACTTCGTAATCTCTTCTTCCACCCGACCTCCTCCTCCTTGGTCACTCACCTTGAGCTCACTCACCTCTCCCCAAACTTATCACCCTTTCTCCTCTCCTCCCTCTCCTCTCTCCCCCATTTCTCTATCTCCCCAAACTCAAGCTCCTTGGTCATCACTATCGAACTCAATCTCCCAAATTCATTCCTCTTTCTCTCTTAAATTTGAACATAGCGATAAAACTTATATCTAAGAACTATGTTTAGCAATTGTTATGTTCCACAAATAATGCTCATAGTTAATAGCTAATTGTTAAACTTAACAACTAATGTTTAAGGTTAACATACAACAACTATAATTAACAACTGACTTTTAAGCTTAACAAATAACTTTTATGTTTAACATATAGAGCTACAGGCATTTACCTACGCTCTCTTGGAGATTCAAACCTCGATTCTTGAGATCTAATAGTTAGACGCGCGAGCGTCAAGGGCCAATAGTAGCCGTGAGCAACTAAAGCACTCGGAAGAGGTTAACTTTCTCCTCGAATTGAAGAAATCTTGCTCCAATCATCAGCGAGAAGTAAGATCGACACAAGCATCGAGCGAGGCATATCATCGCCACACCGAACCCAAGTTAAACAAATAAGAAGTTAAATCAACCTTCTCATCTTCTATACTTGAAAAAGAACGATTGTAAAAAGATTCTTACCGGACGATAGAATCTCTTCTCAAAACTAAAATAGTTAAGAGAATCATTAGTTTCGTCTTTTTCGGGATACTACATCTGGAAGTGGAAGTGGGGTTCATTCTAATTCACCTTCACCACTACCAACCGGCCCAAGACCTGCATGGATGGCATTATCCCTAACCAATGACAGATTACAACGAACCCCACCAAGATAGCGATGGTGTTCGGTTTCATCTATGCCGACGATACCCCTAGCTCCGAGAATACTTGCTTGAGGAAGGGGTGCAGGGGCAACCGGAGGCCAAACTCCAAATGCCTCATGTAGAGTGGGCCTCTCTCCAGCCCATGGTCGAATATGGCCTCCGACCTTGTTGGAGCCAACAACCCATACTCTTTAGGGACATCAAACTTCTTGTAGATCGTCCTCTTTTGGGTCAAAGTCACCTTGGAGTGAATCCCTGCCAAAAGAGCCCGACGATCAATAGGATCAGATGCTATTGGAAGAGACTTTGACCCAACAGCCCATACTCCTTAGGACGATCAATAGGATCAGATGCTATTGGAGTGAATATGGCCTCCGACCTTGTTGGAGCCAACAGCCCATACTCCTTAGGGACATCAAACTTCTTGTAGATCGTCCTCTTTTGGGTCAAAGTCACCTTGGAGTGAATCCCTGCCAAAAGAGCCCGACGATCAATAGGGTGAGATGCTATTGGAAGAGACTTTGAC